ACTGCGGAGGGCTTGACACGTGAGGACGAGGATTTTAAACCTGATCCTCTCTACGGGAGGATCTGGCGAGGAATGGGGGGTGATAGGGGCCACAACGTAGGAACGGATCTGAGAGTCGGTCTGGGTCGGATTGTGTTACCTGGGGGTCGGAGGGGAGGGGAGGGGGGGACTTGTTAAAGTCAATTGGCTGAGCCTGGGTTCTCTCGGTCCCATGCAGTGGACGAGAAGAGGGAGCCAACGTCCACCCCGGTGATACTGGCCGAGATCATGAGAGAGGAGGGACTGTGAGTACAGACCCGTGAGGAGGCCATGTCTGAAGAGTGTCACAAGAGTCTTGTAGCTCAGCGGTTAGAGCACTCGCTTCGCAAGCGAGAGGACCCGGGTTTGATTCCCGGGCGGGACAGGGCGAAATGTTAGGCAAATTTCCTTACTCCACACACCCACACACACACACACACGCACCCGCGCGCCTCCGTTTACCTAACAGTAAGCAAGAGCACGGTTGTTAGTCGATTGGCGGATCGCTTTTCCGGGTGGGGGTGGGTAACAATCCCTTCGATTTATTTATATAAAAAAGTAATTATTATTTGGTCACTCAATCCGCGAGCGTTTGCGGGACATTACTGTGCGGTCAGTACACGTCGCAGTGTATTCTGTGAAGGCCACTCAGCAGCGTGATAAATGCAAGGAGTATTATTCCGTTTATGACGCCTGTGAACGTCGAGGCGTCTCGAAGGGTCGCCGTGGCTCGTGACAGGCAGCGCGTGAGCTGTGGCGCCTGACCTGCCTTGTGACTGCGACTGCAGGTTGGCCCCGTATCGCGGTTGGTTCCCCGTCATCTCCAGCCTTTGCTGCTCGAACTTCGTCTACTTCTATACCTTCAACACCCTGAAGGCCATCTGCGTCAAAGGGCATCCCTCCAAGAGCAAAGATCTCATGATGGGTTTCATCTCAGGTAAGACGGTGACTGTGCGCGTGTGTCTCTCTGTGTGTGTGTGTGTGTGTGTGCGTGTGAGAGAGAGAGAGAGAGATTAACAACAACAACTTGCAACCCCCTCGTGCAGGGTAGTGTCCCACAGCGCTTGACAGTGGTGGAGCATGACACTGAGCCGGGGCGGAGGTGGTGTGTGGGGTGGGGGTGAAGGCACAACCTGAAGATGGAGAAGGAGTGGGTGGTGGGGTGGGGGGGGGGTGGGGGGGCAAGGCGGAGGGGTGGAGGATGAGTGTTCCAGGATTTCAGGGGTTAGTGACTGAAACGTGGACCAGTGCGGGGGAGAGGGCGCGGAAGGTTAGAGGGCGTGAAATATCAGGAGGTGCCATTGATTCTGTGTGTGTGTGTGTGTGTGTGACTATCTCTCGCTCTCTCTACCTCCCCCAGGGGTGGTGAACGTGTTGCTGACCACACCACTGTGGGTGGTCAACACTCGCCTCAAGCTGCAAGGAGCAAAGTTCAGGAACGATGCCATCCAACAGACCAACTACCAGGGCATCTTAGGTAAGAGGCTTCACCGAGGGGTACTGGGGAAAAGTCCGGTAAATAATCACCCTCGCATTCGATACAGCGCCCCATCAGGTCGTTGAGGCGTCTCAAAGCGCTTCACAGGCTGTGCTGCCAAGTGGAGTGACTGTGCATTGTGTGGGTGAAACGGCGGCAGCGGATTGCGCACCGCAGTGCCCCCACAAACAGTCGTGGATTGAGTGACCGACTTATCATTTATTTGTTCCTTTTATTGATTTGTTGATCCATTTAGCATTCGTTCACAGTCACTCCACCGCAGAGGGTATCCTGTGAGGGCTTTGAGAGGTCTCAACGACCCGATAAGGCGCTAAATCAAGTGCAAGGAATATTATTACGTCCTCTGATAATCTCTGTTGCTGGAAGGTTACCTGTTACAGTCTCTCTCTCTCTCTCTCTCTCTCTCTCCACTGTCACAGACGCCTTCAAACAGATAGTGCGGAGGGAGGGGGCGATGGCGCTGTGGAATGGCACTTTCCCCTCACTGCTCCTCGTCCTGAACCCGGCCATACAGTTCATGTTCTACGAAGGGTTAAAGAGGCAGCTCAGGAGAGGGCGTCCTGAGGTTAGCACTGTACTGGGGTGGGGGTGTGGGGGGGGGGGGTGTGGGTGGGGGGGGGGTGTGGGATGTATTACAAGTGGTGGTTTGACGAGGCACTGTGCTCGGCCGCTATCAAGCGCTCTGGGACGCTACGCAGCCCGTGTTTAGTTGTTCCGGGGGGGGGGTGGGGGGGTGGACAGTCCGGGGAGTGGTTTGTTGGGTTAATTTGCCTGAGGAATGGTTTATAAATAATAATAATGATGATGATGATGATGATAATAATCCTGGCGTTTGACTCCGCGCCTTATCACGCCGTCGAGGCGCCTCCCCAGCGCTTCACGGGGCACACTGTGTGCGTTTGTGTTTTGTGGATGGAGTGACCACATTTCTTTGTGTGTTCGCGGAGGGATTGTTACCCCCGGAGAGCAGTCAATCCACCGATCGACTAACCTCCGTGTTCCTACTTACTGCTGGCAAACCGAGGCGCGTTGGTGCGGGCGCGTGTGGGCGCGTGTGGGCGCGTGGAGTAAGGAAACTTGCCGAAGGTTTCACCCTGTCCTGTTTCGCCCGGGAATCGAACCCGGGGACCTCTGGCTTGTGAGGAAGAGCCCTCTAACCCCTGAGCTACCGGACGGTTTGTGGGGTGTGGTTGGACGGGGAGTGGTTGGAGGGTGCGGTTGCTGTGGGGAAGCATATCTGTGGTATCCTCGCTCCGGCGGCTTTTTTTTCCACAGCTGACGTCCCTTGAAGTGTTTGTAATCGGTGCCATCGCTAAGATGGTGGCAACAACGGTGACCTACCCGCTCCAGACCGTCCAGTCCTTACTGCGGGTGAGTTACGAAGCCGTGACCTCTCCTGCAAGGGTCCGTTGTTTGCGCGCGTGCGTGTGCGTTCCCGTGTTTGCGTGTTTGTGTGTGTGCGCGGGGATCCCTGTGGGTGTGTGGGCGCTGTCCCTGTGCGCGTGTTTGTCCCTGTGCGCGCGTGTAAATGCCATTTGTTGTTGTTGTTGTTGTTGATGAAACACTGGCCCCTTCCCTCCCTGCAGTTCGGCCAACAGAGGATGGGCCCAGAGAGCAGAGTGTTGGGGAGTCTGCGGAGTGTGATCCATCTGCTGAGCCAGCGAGTCCGGTGAGTCAAAACCCCTCACACCCAGCGCTCGTGCCGCCTCGTCTCTCTGCCGCGCAGCTCAACGGCGACAGCGACAACCACTTGCACTCACATAGCGCCCTTCGTGCGGGGTAGCGTCCAGGGGCGCCTCCGAGCGCTTTCCCTCTCGTAGCCTCGCTCCCAAGTTCGTCGTTCCCACGTGAGCGATAGTAACCCACACAGGTTTACGCACTCGATAACAATCCTCGCGTTTCGACACCGCGCCTTATCGCGTCTCCGGGCGCTTCACGGGACACGCCGTAAAGCGAATTGACTGTATATTTTGCGGGCGCAACGCGGCGGCCGATCGCGCGCAAACAGTCGTGGGTCGAGTGACCGCGTTTTATTTGGAGGGGTTACTACCCCCGGAAAAGCCATCCGTCCACCAATCGACTTAACACCCGAGTTCCTACTTACTGCCGGGTTAACAGAGGCGGGTGCGAGGGTGCGTGTGCGCGCGTGTGCGTGTGTGTGTTTGTGCGGAGTAAGGAAACTTGCCGTCAGGACTGACCGACTGCCGAAAAAAAGGTCACCTTCCTGGAACGCTAACCGACTCCCCCTCTCGGTGGATGCCGCCTGACCCGCCGAGCGTTCCCGGCGCCCCCCGCGCGTACTCGTGTCTTGACGGTGGCCGTGTTATTCCCTTCGAACAGGAGACACGGGATGATGGGGCTGTACAAGGGGTTGGAGGCCAAACTCCTTCAGACTGTGCTGACGGCCGCTTTGATGTTCCTCATCTACGAGAAGATCGCGGGACTGATATTCCACCTCATGGGTGCGTGGGGGCTGGCCGGAGGCTAGAGACTGAAGCCCCCCACCCCCCCCACCCATCCCATCCCAAGCCCTCCCAGCCAGTTACCCCCCACCGCCTCTTCCCTCTTCACCCCCACCCCCAGCCCCCGACCCCCACCACATCTCTCCTCAAACTCCAATCCACCACCACTGGAGTCCACCTTTTACGGATTTTTCGAAACCCGAGCGGGAGTTGCCGGACTTGGCTGCGACATTTGAGGCAGCTCCTGATCACACCTTCGAGGCACATTTCGAAGCGCTTCGCAGAATATCCTGTAAGATGGAGTGACCGTGCATTCCGCGGCCAAAACGTGACGGCCCAACTGCGCACAAAGACGCACCAAATCCAAACGCTTTTCGATCTGCGCAGAAACTCAAAACTCTCTCTTACCTGATCTGAATACCTTCAGCCCTCCCCACGCACACCCCCCCCCCCACCCCCCCGCCCACCGCCCCCCAAACCCCTTCTTTGGCAAAAGAACCAGAGGAGAAAGGAGATTTTTTTTTTTTGAACCTGGAGAGTTGTTACGGTCTGGAACTCGCTGCCCGACGGGATGGGGGAACCAGATTTGATAGTACCTTTCAGAAGGAAAAATTTGCAAGGCTGTGGGGGTAAGAGAGGGACTGATGGGGCAGCTCTTTCAAAGGGCCGGGACAGACGCAATGGGCCGAATGGCCTCCTTCTGTTCTGTAATATTCTACGATGATCCTCTCCTCTCTCTCTCTCTCTCTCTCATCGCGCCCAGCGACACAGTCCTTTTCCTTCATCTCCTCCCTCCCTCTCTCACCTTCCCACCTCTCTCTCTCTCTCACCAACCTGCGCCTAACGCTCCCTGGAATTCGGTAAGCAAGCCGCGTCCCTTCACCGGGAGGGAGGGAGAGAGAGAACGCATTCCCTTCCAAACGCGGGGAGATTTCCGGTAGTTGGACTGAGATTTTAATAAAAGAAAAGGTTTCTTTTGGAGATTAACAGTAAATTATGCCTGTGCCTGTTTTAGACTGTTGCCGAGTTTAGGCGTACATGCGTGTGCGCGCGCGTATTGCGTGTGGACTGCGTGTGGGGAGGGGCACTGTGCGCGGGAGGTGTCGCGTGAGACAAGTATGGGCCGTGCGTGTCACCCCGTTGGTCGGGGTGGCAGAGAGATGGTGTTTGTTGGTAACGATAATGATCCTTACGTTTGATACAGAGCCTTATCGCGCCCTCGAGACGTTCTCAAAGCGCTTCACGGAAGATACTGCAAAGTGTAGTGACTGTGTGGGCGAAACCGAGGTCTCTCACCTGCCGGGCGAGTGCTCCAACCTGAGCTACGGGACACAACTGTGATGTGAGGAGGAGAGAGAGGGCTCCTCTGATCACTGGTTACCGGGGTTCACTCCCCACCCTTCCCCTTCCGCCCCCCCCCCCCCCGACACCTCTCGCCCACTTTCTGAAACCATTGCACCACCTTTTTGATTCAATCCCAATTAAAAGCACCTCTCGACGCCCTCTCCTTTCAAGGCTTGAGGAGCGCCCTATCTCGGCTAATGGTTTTGCTTGTCGCTGCGAAGGGCTCAGGGCCACTCCAGTCCCCTTTGAACGCAGATCTCTCGCTCGCTCCGTGAGATCCCTTAATGGAGTCTTTCTTTTCTTTTTCTTTTTTTTTTTCACGGCGCGCACAAAGGATCAGCGGCTCGAGTTGGTTGCGCTTTGCATTTCAAAGCCGTGTCGGTGCCCGGATTGCCTGTGGCTCTGCTAATGAGGATTAATACGCGCCTCTGCCTCGGCGGACTGAGTGCTTTATTTTTTTTCTGCTGTGCGCCGTACACCCAACCTTAAAAGAGGACGAGAACGCAAGTGTCTTATTTAACGCACATTTGAATAACAACAACGTCAACGTCAGCGAGTTACATTCACACGGAGCCTTGATGTTGATAATGATGATAATAATTAATAGTAATAATAACGACCCTTACATTTGATATAGCGCCTCATCACGTCCCCCGGATGGCTCCCCCGAGGAGCTTCACAGAACATACTGTACCGTGGAGTGACTGTTATATTTTCTGGGTGAAACGTGGCAGCGAATTGCGCACAGCAGCGTCCCCCCCCCGCAAACAGACGTGGATTCAGTTGACCCTATTATTATTTAGTTAGGTTTTTTTTTTTTTTTTGCAGGGAATATCCCTAAGAGATGCGATCCGCCGCTCGGCTAACGGAGCGGGTCCTTACTTGCCGCTGGCGCTGGGTAAGCAGAGAGCGTGCGGGTGCGCGTGAGGTTTCGCCCTGACCTGCTGGGGAATCGAACCCGGGTCCTCTCGCTTGCGGGGCGAGCTCTCTGACCTCTGAGCTACGGCCTTTCGCGACGGGAGGACAAGCCGGGGAGTTGGACCCGGGCTGGGGTTCGGGATCAGGAGGGGTGGAGGGTGGTGGGTGCTCCACTCCGGGTGTTGGGGGTTTGGGTATCTCCGCCCTGGGTGTCGGGGTGGGGGGAATGGGCTCTGGGTGTTGGGTGGGGCGAGTTTCCTGCCCCCGCCCCTGCCCCTGTGTGGACCTGAACAGCACAGCCATTCGCTGGCGGGCGGTCCTGCACAGCGCCAGGTAGAGGAAGGGGTTCAGGCAGCTGTTGGCGTAGCCCAGGCTGATGGCCACGTTGTAGGCCACGTGAAAGCTCGGGGTGGGTTGGCGCACGGTCAGCTGCAGCAACTGCAGGGTGTAGAAGGGAGCCCAGCACCCAAAGAACAGCAGACATATTGCCACCGCCGTGTGGGTCACCTTCTTGGCCCTCAGTCTGACGCTTCTCTGGGTGACCGGCGCGACAGCAGAGGTCACGGCCTGGAGGAGCCTGGCGTAGGCGGTGACGATGACCGCCAAGGGCAGGGCGAAGGCCAGCAAGAACTGGTAGAGGGTGTACCAGCAGATGTCCACCTCGGGCCTGGGCAGACTGATGCCACAGCCCACCTGGCCCCCGGGGAAGGGGATGAGCCTTGTGTACATCCACACTGGGGTGACGCTGGCCAACGAGAGGAGCCAGAGGAAGCAGACGGTGCACAGGGCGACCGAGGGAGTCCGGTAACGGGTGGAGGTGATGGGATGGACGGTGGCGAGGTAGCGGTCGACGGACATAGCCGTCAGGATGTAGGTGCTGGTGAATTGGCTGCTGGAGTCGACGGCGGTGATGAGGGTGCACAAGGTCTCGCCGAAACGCCAGGCGCCCTTGCCGAGGAGCTGGTGGATTAGGAAGGGCATTCCCAGCAGGAAGAGCAGGTCCACCAGGGAGAGGTTGAGGATGTAGATGTCGGGCACCGAGTTGCACCGTCGCAGCTTTGACATCTTCAGCACCGTGGCGATGACGGTCAGGTTCCCAGCGATCCCAAGCAGACAAATGACGCCGAACAACACGGGCAGAACGAGGTCAGCGTAGGAGAAGCGGCCGGAGACGCCTTGGAGTAACGCGGAGACGATAATGATGTTAATAATACCTTGCGGTTGGCATGATGATGTACAATAGGGGGGGGGCAGTGACGGTAGCAATAACAGCCCTCGCGTTTAATCACGTCTTCGAGACGTCTCAAAGCGCTTCACGGATTAGACGGCGTATTTTGTGGGCGAAACGTGGCAGTCAATATCGCGCAGCGGCGTCCCACAAACACTTGTAGATTGAGTGACAATTTTTTAAAATCTCTCTCTCTCTCTATATATATATATATATGTACATGTGAGATTATCTCAAGCTCTCGGTCGTGTAAATCTCTGCCCTCGTCCTCGCAAGTTTGGGCGCAGCGCTTTAAAGCAAAGTAACCTCTCTGGTGAGAGAACACTGGGACGACTGCCTCCGAAACAAGAGCAAAAATGACAACGCGCAGCTCCGTACCCTTCGCTCTGTGTCGCTTACCCACTGAGGTGACGTTCCCTCCGAACTCCGGACAGTTACTGTGATTGTGGTCCCGGGACGGTGATACCGGCTCCACGTCCATCGCACTCTTCTGTCCGTCTCTTGCTTTTTATCTAATGCTCCTTTCTCTCTCCTCCTGTCTTCTGTCCGTCTCTCTCTCTCTCTCTCTCTCCCCGATTCTCTGTGGCTTTTTTTCGGTCCGTCTCTTTTAAGCGCTCTGAGACACTGCCCCACGCGGAGGGCGCTCTGTAAACGCAAGTTGTCGCCGTCTCTCGCTCACTGTCTCTGCATTCGATCTCTGGCCGTGTGTCTACTGTGTGTGTGTGTGAGAGAGACTATGTGTGAGTGTAACTGTCGTGTGTGTGTGTGTCCGTGTGTGAGACTCTTCTGTCTCCGAAACTGTGTGTTAAGTCTCCGTCTCGGAGAACGTGCGTATGGTGTGAGACTGTGTGTGTGTGTGTGTGAGACTGTCTTGCGTCTCTCTCTCTCTCTCTCTCTCCCTCTCTCCCAGTCACCGTAGAGAGCCGGTGCGCTTGGTGTCACAGTTCAATCAGTGCAGTTTTTAATCATACGTTCAACCTCTGTGTACAGCCTGGAATACGTGGTCGAGATCTGACGATGACGACGACGATAATAATCCTTGGATTCGACATAGTACCTTTCGCGTTGTGACGACATCTCTTAAAAGTGCTTCACAATAATCCTCGCCTTTGATACAGCGCCTCAATCATGTCGTTGAGACGTCTCAAAGGAATATATACCGTGAAGTGGATTGGCTGTGGATTTTGTGGGCGAATGATTCACTTCAGGTGGTACACACACACACACACACGTATAGATATAAGTGCAGTGATTGTGGTCTCCGCAGGCGAAAGTTTCAATAATAATAATAATAATCCTTGCACTTTATGCGAGCTTTGCGACTGCGCTATAAGCAACGATTTATCTCTATCTTTCCTAACGCAAACAGACTTTGCGCTCGCGCCCGCGCGTGTGTGTACGCGCGAGTCGTTACACCACCGCCTGGTGAGGAGCACCAGTATTACCGTCAGTTGCGGAAGGTTGGCTCTGTTGGCCACCCTCGCCTCGAGGTAAGAGGGCTGCGGGTTCAAGCCGAGGGTCCGGGCTGTCGCGGCAGTGCTGTGCTGGGGGATTGCTGCATTGACGGAGGTGCTGCCCTTCGGATAAGATAAGATGTTTACCACTCGTTTAAGCCGAGACAGAGCCCTCGAACGCTTCGGGACGTCCTCCCGACGTGAAAGACGACGTACAAACGCAGCGACGGCGATCGTTGCATTCGTTTTTTGCACCGATGTCTCTCAAAGCGCTTCGCGGAATATACTGTAGAGTGTAGTGACCGTATAGTTTTGGGGGGCGAAGAGGAAGAGCCAATTGCGCACAGCGGCTCCCGTCCCGTCCCATATATTGTTGAGTTGACCCTATTATTATTTTCGGAGGGTTTATTACCCCCGGAAAAGCGTTCCGCTAATCGATGTAAAGAGAGAGAGAGGGAGGGGGGAAAAAACACTCACAATGTCCTGCTTTATATAAAAAAAAGTTTAAAAATACCAACACAAAATCCGTGTCTTACATACATTTAAAAAAAGGGGGAAGAGGGGTGGGGGTGGGGTTGGGGGGGTGGGGGGGGGGGAGTAAGCAATAGATCTCCGATCATCACGTTTGCTTTTTTTTTTGGCTAATCTTATAATATATATCGTCTCACTATACTCTACAGAAGGAAATCAAATACATTTCTCCGATAGTTTTCCCAATAAATGTTTACACCTCAAGAGATTTTTTTTTCTTAGAATATACATTTGTCTTTCAAAGGGGTAAAAAAAAAACTTTGTACAAAGTTCGGAAAGAAAACAGTTCTTTTTTATATATATATATATATGTATATATATATATATATATAGTAACGCACCAGATTTCATCTCGTTCGCTGGATATTAACTCTGGGCAGAGAGAGAGAGAGAGCGATCACCTGTGTGTAATTCAAACCACCGGTTCCAGCCTCAAACACCTCCCTCCTTCCCCCCCCCCGACCTCCCCCTCCCACACACACACACCATTCCCCCCTCGAAATCTTATCAAAAATAATCCTCGCGTCTCATTTTACAAGTGCCTAATGGTCAGGTCGAACTGTCCCTCCCAAAGCGCTTCGCAGCTCAGGCTGTAGTGACTGTTATTCTGCAGCCAGTTCGGTTTGTACTCTGTGCGAGTCTCTGGTTGGGGGGGGTAGGTGGGTGGGGGGGGGGGGGTAGAGGAACCTGCGTCTCGTATTTTAACCATTTGTACTCAATTCCCACACACACAGAGTCTGTGACCACCAACGCATCAAAATCTTACGCTACAGCTGATTGCTGTACATCCACAGGACATTGAAGCCCCAATCGAAGGTGGAGACCCCCCACCCCACTCAAAAGCTTTCCCGGGGGAAACAGGAGTGGGAGGAGTGGGGTGGGGAGGAGAGAGAGAGAGTGGGGGGGAAGGAGATCAGAGAAAATCAGCAGAGGTGTGATGGGCTGAGACGTTTGAATGATTTTTAACCAATCTCTCCCCCCCCCCCCCTCCCTCCCACCTCCCCCCCACCCCTCATCAGAAAGTGCCTGCGACACAGCGCCCGATCGCGTCTTCGAGGCATCTCAAAGCGCTTCACAGGATACGCCGCAAAGTGAAGTGACTGGCGTGTCTTGTGGGCGAGACGCGGCAGCCGAACGCGCACGGCGGCGCCCCGTCCCCCCCCCCGCAAGCGGTCGTGGATTGAGCGGCCAAGTTATTATTAGTATTTTTCATTCCTCAGTTAAAAACTTGGGGGTTTTTAATAAGGAGACGGGAGGGGGGGCAGACCCCGTCGACAATGAGAGAGTTGGGTGAGGTGAGCGAGTGGATGTCTACCGACTGAGTTGTAATCACTCTCGGACCATCGCATATCAATCCCATTGCTCGAATCTTCCCAGTGAAATCCCGCTGAACGCGCCAGCGTTACCCGCTCTGGGATACAGTGAGAAAGAGTATTGGGGGGTGAGGGTGGGCGGGGTGGGGGGGGGGGGGACATTCTTAAACCAACGCATATTCACGATCTGCCATCCCCACCCCCTCTCCCTCACCCCCTTTGTGTGTTGCGGAGGACATTCAGAAACAGGGATGACTTTCGGTCTCTCGTTCTAGCAAAGTGCTGTGTGTATGTGCGGTGTACGCGCGGGTGCGGGTGGGGGTGCGCGGGTGCGCGCGTGTGTGCCGCAAACAGTCGGCGACGGAGAATTTTTTTCACTCCTGGAAAGCCATCGGCTAACAACCGGGTCCCTACTTACTAAACAGGCGACGCGCGCGCGTGTGAGTGGGTGCGTGCGGAGTAACGCAAGTCGCCTAAGGTTTCGCCCCCGTCCCCGTCCCGTCCCACCCAGGAATCGAACCCAGGTCCTCTCGCTCGCGAGACGAGCGCTCCGACCGCTCCACAGATTTTTTTTGCCAAAAAAAAAAANCCCCACCCGCGCACCGACAACTGCGCAACGAGGATTCCAGTGGCGAAACAAACGCCTTTGCTCCAAACATTCACGTGGTCTCTCAGATGTACGGAAAAGTGGCATCAGTCGTCAAAAGTAACCTGGTTCTCAAACGGACCCAAAAAAAAAATCCGCTCCCCCCCCACCCCACCACCCCACCCCCAAAAAAAAATACTGGAGGAGAGGGGAATATATTCGACACGTTTGGGTCTGGGAGGCCCTTAAGCGCGGCGGTGGGTTTCCGTGTGTGTCGGGCACCCGGCTGACCCAACGGCAAACATTCCTCGCCCCTGCTATCTCAGGGTGGGCGTCAGTCTTTCTAGTGTCACGTCAGGGATGGCCGCATTCAACTGGTTCAGTTGTCTACCAACACCCCCCGCCCCTCCGCCGCCCGCCCGCCCGCCTCCCCACACACGACGGCTAAAACACGCCACCCCCACCTCTGTGCCGTTCAGCACGTCAAAGGTGAGGGGAGAGGCGGAGGTGTCGGGGGAAGGTGGGCTGGTTGGTCGTCATTCCATTAATTTTAACAAGAGTTAAGTCTCCACAACGAGACCGCCCTTGTAATGTCTTGAGTAGGACAGCGCTGGGAGCGCCGTCTCATGACACTAACCTCAGCCGGGGCTCAGATCTCCTTTCACCCACTCACTCACCCACCCACCCACCCACCCACCCACTCACACGCGCGCACACACTAACAAGTCAAGGAACGCCAGACACTGATCAAATCCTCCACCTCTCCGCTCCCTTCCAATCTCCGGGAGAAAACTCCCCCATTCTCCAACTCCCAAACCAAGTCCAGGGGAAAGCAAGTTACGTAATAGTATTCCTTGCATTCGACAGAGAGCTTCTCGCGTCGTTGAGACGTCTCAAAGCGCTTCACAGAGGGGCACTCGAAAAATACACTGCTGTCGCTAACGCGAGGCCAGCTCTGGCCACGTTTGTAGAGTGTACAAATGGCCACTGCGGTGTGAACTTTGGCTACTGAAGAGCTTATTTTGGCGGGCGAGCGGCGGGAATGGGCCTTACCCTGGTTCGGAGTGAGCGGAAGGGAGGAGAGAGAGAGAGAGAGAGAGAAGATAGTCACCTACGCCCTCAACTGCAGGAACCTCACACTCTCCCTCTCTCTGAACCCTTCCAAAACCGCAGTAAAATAGGCGTCTAACGCAGCCCATTCCCTCTGCTCATGAGCCTAAGACAATTTCTCCTAATCCCCCCCCCCCCCACCCCAACATCCCATCTCTCCCCAGTACAAACTGGGTAAGCTGTAAGCCTTAGACCCGAGCTTAACACAGACCAGGGTATACAATGAGATGTTTGCTCCCACACCTACACACACAATACAGTAAAGTTCTCAAACGTGACCTTAATTTGGAAGGCGTTCCCAGCCAGCGATCTTATCCCCCCACGTCCCCCCCCACCCACCCAACCCCACCCCGAACACTCAGCAACCGAGCCAAATCTGCTTCCGCGCTCGCATCGGTATGACAATAATAATAACCCTCGCATCTGACGCAGCGCCTTATCACGTCGTTGAAGACGTCTCACAAAGCGCTGCGTGGAATATACAGTGCAGTGAAGTCAATCGACCGTGTACTTTGTGGGCGCTTTAAAGAGGGGGAAGCGAACTCACCGACACAGCGAGCGCTCGGCTTGCCCGCTAACCGCCAATTTCATACAAAGCCTTACAGATCTATCTACCTCCGCATCCCTCTATACAGAAAGGCTTCCTGACTCCAACCTCTCGGACACACTGTGTAGAGACGCCCTCGTGCTATGTGAAGCTAATTCCTCCTTCCCCACGACTGCCCTGGCTAACAACAGCAACAACAACAACAACAAGTTGCATTTATATAGCGTCCCAAAGAGCTTTGGGGTCCAGCAGACCGCGATCGGCTCTGGGGCTTGGCCAGCAGGGGGGCAGTGCACGGGGGGGGCGAGGGATCTGTCTCACCAGGAGATGTAGCGGAGATAGCGGGACATTGTCTGACTGCTTTGGAGCTGGGGGGGGGGCAAAGCTTCCCCATTCCGGTGATTCGTTCCTTTGCTCCTGTCCGCGTGGATTGGGGCTTAACGTCTAATCCAAAAGGGCGGGACCTCCGACAATGCCACGCCATCCCCCCCCCGCCCCCCCGGCGCTTGCAACAACAACAACAACAACAAGTTACACTTCGCATCGGGAGGACGTCCCGAGATGCTGGATGGTCTGGGATTGAACCCACGACCTTCTGCCTCGGAGGCAAGAGTCAATGGCAAGCTGTGTGTGGTTTCCATCGGTCGGACCCCGGCAGTTACCCCAATGCACACTCTGGGCTCCCCCCCCCCTCGACCCCTCCCCCTGCAAGCCTTGGCTCTTGCCAAACCCGCTCTTGATACTCTCCAGGGAATAGCTAAGCAGGGGGTGCGTCCCTCCAGGGAGAGAGCGAGAGCGAGAGCGAGAGACCATTCCATTCCAACCATTGCTCTTAAGCAACGGCGATGGGTTTCTGCGTCGGTCAAGACGCCCGGCTGAGCAAAACCACACAGATTCAACCAGGTTTTCGCCCCCCCACCCACCCCCCGCCCCCACCACCGGCCACCTCCACCTCCACCCGCCTCCCAGAAATTTGGTTAACACAGATTCCCCATCTTTGCCCGTCACCTTACGATGCATCGCGCAGCCATGCAGCACACAAACCGCGCAGCTTGCCGCGACGGTCCAATGCACGCACCGTTTCAGCCCGGGGCAATGAACAGGTCAAAGCTTGCGATTGGTTTAACATATTCAATCTGTGTTTTGAGTTTCGTTGCTGCCGGAAGGCGGGCCGGGAGGTATTATTATTATTATTCTTTTTTAAAACACACACGCACGCACACGCACCCTCCCCCCTCCTCACCCAACCCAACTCCAAACCCACCGAGAGATACGTTTAGGTCACGGAGGGGTTGGGGGAATTCACCTTCTGTTCATCCCTACGTCCTCCTTCTTCTCCGTCTACCCCTCTCTCCCTCGGCCCACACCAGTCGGTGCAAAACAACCACAAAACAGAACAACAGCCTTGGCAATTGAGAAACTGTGAGCGTGCGACGATGTGCGACGAGGCTGGAAGCCGCTGTGAAACCTGGGGACCACCTTGTACGGTTGGGTTGGAGAGACGACCCTCTGTCTCTCTCTCTCTGGAGAACCGGGGCTGACGTTAGGACCTCCTGCTCGCAATGTGGTTCCAATCCCACCACAAAGCGCCAACCGAGACACGTGGATTCAACTCCGACGAGAGAGAGGGGGCGAGCGATGCCGTCCGTCCTTCCGATGTTTTCCCGGGCGCTGTGCCTCCAGACGCCTCTCTCTCCGCTTCGGCGAAGTAACGGCAACGGAAGGAAAAAAAAAACCCCACTACCAGGCATTTCTGCGGCATTTCCGGTGATGTGCCATTTACCAAATCCTCGGGGGAGGGGGGAGAGGAGAGGGAGAGGGAGAAGGAGAGAGGGAGAGGAGGGGGTGGCGGATTGGGGGGGGGGGTTTCAGTCGAGTTATCAATCCCAATGTAGCTGCAGATCGTGGGTGTCGAGGAAATCGGTGGAGAAGACGCTGTGAGCGGAGCTGGGAGTCAGGCCCACAGAGGGACCTCCCATAGTCAGGTCCAGCCACTCCATGTTGTCCAGATTGGTGTCCGCTAAGTCAAGGGTCAAGCCCCCGCCGTCGGACGTGAAGTGGAGGTCGGAGGTGTCCATGGGCGAGTGCTGATGCTCCAGGATGCTGGAGCTGCTGAGCATCTGGCTGTGCAGGTCATCGATGAGCGACAGAGGACCCGAGCCGTCCTGGTCCTGGCCGGCGGAGAGCAAAGGCCCCCCCGCCGTGCTCTCCAGGAAGTCCTCCAAGCGCCCCGCCCCTGCTCCGCCCCCCGGCGGCTCCAGCGACAGGGGTGATGCGGGCTCCGGCGACTGCTCTTTGGCGGGCGTGGGCTGGGGGGAGACGGGGGAGGGGGCACTCTGCGGGGAGGAGGGGGTTAAGGAGCAGGAAAGGTCCTTGGCGTGAGGCAAGATCTCTGTAAGGCAACAACTTATTATTAATAATAATCATTGCATTTGATACAGCGCCTTATTACGTCGTCGAGACGCCTCGCAGAGTTTCACAGGATGTTCAAAGGAACGCAGGAGCAGGCGGAGGAGGCCATTCAGCCCCTCGAGCCTGTTCCACCATTCTACTAGATCATGATCTGCACCTCAACTCCCAAATTCACACTGTACAGTGCAGTGACTGTGTGTATTGTGGGTGAAACGCGGCAGCCACGGCGCGAGCACAACGATGTCCCACAAACAGCCATGGAGTGAGTGGGGATTGTTGGCCAGGAGACTGGGAGAGACAGAAACACCCTTTTTCCTTTCGAACAGCGCCGCGGGAGATCTTTAACGTCCACCTGAACAGGCAGACGGGGAGTGAGGATTAACCTTTCATCGTTAAACCACTGGCTCCGACGGGGGTGGGGGGGGGAAGACGAGATAATATATAATATAATCCTTGCATTTGTTTTTGTTATAGCTCCTTATCACGTCGTCGAGACGTCTCAAAGCGCTTCACAGGATACACTGTAAATTGCAGTCACTGTGTATTTTGCGGGCGACATCAGTGAGACAAAGCATAACGGAACGAACGCAGAGAGAAACAAAACTCTCAGCCACAAAGTTCCCACTGGTATTCCATTCGCTTCCTCCCGTCGCACTGCAACCACACGGGAACCGAGTGAAAATGGTCACTCAGCAGATTTCAAACCAAGCGGTTTCCCTCCCCGGGGGGTCAGCCACTGAGCTCTCTATAACACAAACTCACACACAAGGGCACTTAAACCTTCCCTCACCTCCACTTTGTATCAGGATGTCAAATAGATCGTCCATCTGTTGGCTTCTGGAGCTCTCCTGGTGACAAGGAAAGAACGTGACGCGAGAGTGAGTATGGGAGAGAGAGAGATATAGAGATACAGCGAGTGGAACGGAGACAAGAGAGGCAGAGAGGGAGGCAGAGAAGGAGTGAGAATGAGGCAGAGAGTGAGAGGCCGAAGGCGACAGTAATAATGATAATTAACCCTGCAATTCATATAGCATCTCATCACGTCGTTGAGACGTCTCAAAGCCCTTCGCAGAATGTACTATCAAGTGAATTGACTGTGCGTTTGTGGGCGAAACATACAGTACAGTAAATTGACTGTGTATTTTGTGGGTGAAACGCGGAAGACAATTGCGCACAGAGGTGTCCCACAGTTGTGGATTGAGTGACCAATTATTATTATTATTTTTGAAGGGATTATTACCCCTGGAAAGTGATCGGCCAATCGACTAACAACCGGGTTTTATTCTCTTGTGTGAGTGTGTGTGTGGAGTAAGGAAACTTGCTCAATGTTTCGTCTTGACCCGCCCGGGAATCAAACCCGGGTCCTCTGGCTTGCAAGTCGAGCCCTCTGTCCGCTACGCCACAGGACTCCACCGTACCTGCTGCTTAGCCCGAGGGAGGCAGTGCGATTGCTGCTTCAATGCCTCCTCGTAGCATGGCGGCTCCTTGGCTTTGGGGGAGGTGGCGGGAGCGGTTTGCTGCGTGGGTGAGCTGGGCTGTGACAGAGCCTGCGAGAGGGGAGGAGAGGAGAGGAGACAGGGAATGAAAGGGAACCCGACATTACACACCGGCGTAACAATGATCATTGCATTTGATCACAGTGCCTAATCATGTCTCAAAGCGCGTCGCGGGATACACTGTAAACTGCAAGCGCTCTGAGACGGGACGTTATATAAATGCAAGTTGTTGTTGCACTGACACTATATTTTGGGGGTGAAATGCAGCAGAGAATTTGCACACGGCCATAATGTGAGCGACCAATTTATATCTGGGGGATTGTCGGCCAGGACACCGGGGGGGGGGGGGGGGGGAGAGAGAGAGAGAGAGAGAGAGAGAGAGAAAAACTCTCTTCTCTTTTCGAATAGCGCCGCGGGAGATCTTATAACGTCCACCTGTACAGGGCACAGGAGGGGAGTGAGGTTTGAAATGTCTCACTCGAAGGACGGCATCTCCAACAATGCAATACACCCCCCCACCGCCCACCCAACCCCCCAGCGCTGCCGACACACGCCAACACGTGAAGAGTTTTACCTTGAGTGCAGGGCTGGGGTTGGCCAGTGTTTTCAGGGAGCTGTCGGCAATGTCGTTCAGGAAGAAAGGCTGCATGTTTGGGGGTGCGGAGGCGTAGGAGAAGACTGGGGCGGGCAGGCTGGTCACCAGCTGCAGAGGTGGCTTCTGACTCTATGTGGAGATTAATAATAATAATAATCCTTGTATTCGATATAACGCCTTATCACGTCACAAAGCACTTCACAGAATATACCGTATGTGTCTCTAACCCTATGTTGTGCTGCGTGTATGTGTGTACCTCTCCTTAACCCGGTTTATACGTTTGTGTGTGTGTGTCTCTCTAACCCTCTAACACATACGTGTGGTGTGTGTATGTCTCTCTCTGTAATCCTGTGTTGCACGTGTGTCTCTCTCTGTAATCCTGTGTTGCACGTGTGTCTCCCTCTGTAATCCTGTGTTGCACGTGTGTCTCTCTCTGTAATCCTGTGTTGCATGTGCGTGTGTGCGCGTCTCTCTCTACAGTAATTGGGTTTATGTGTGTGTGTATACACACCTGTCTTTCTGAGTTTGTCTACTTTGTCCACCAAAACTTTGGCGCTCCCTCCCTCAACCCCTTCGCCTCGCTCCCTCCTTCCCCATTTTCAGGTCCCGTCTGAAGACCTTCCTTTTCGACCGCGCCTACAGTCACTTCCCCCCCTCCCCCTGGCTCGGCCTTAGGCTCCACCATTGTTAAGCGCTCGGAGACGTCACCAGGCGTGGAGGGCGCTATATAAGTGCAAGTTGTTGCCGTCTAATTGTGTGCGCGTGTCTCTCTCTGTGGGGCTCTAACTATGTGTACACACACACACACAGAGTCAGTTCCCTGGACATTACTAAAGTTATTTCGGAACCAATGAACTCTTGTGACTTTGAAGCTCCAGAGCCCAGTCTCTCCCTCCCTCTGATCACTCTCCCCGTCCTCACCTCTCCCAGCACAGACACACACACACACACACATATAGACACTCCCAGGACCCACCTTTTTCACGGACTGGTTTAACAGCCCTGGCTGCAGTTGTTGTGTTGAATGGGTGTCCGCTGTTGAATGCTGCGGTGTCTGATCGAGAGAGAGAGAGCGAAAGAGAACGCGTCACTGTCAAGAGCTGGACTGACCCTCTCTGCGCTGAGCGGCTGATCTCAGTCAGGGGGCAGCAGTCCAGTACCTCAGTGGTTAGAGCACTCGCCTCGCAAGCGAGAGGACCTGGGTTTGACTCCCAAGTGGGGGACGAAATCTTAGGCAAGTTTCCTTAATCCCCGCGCGCACACAAGCGCCTATTTACTTAGCAGTAAGTAAGAACCCGATTGTTAAGTCGATTGGCAATTGGATCTCTTTCCTGCGGGTAATAATCCGTTAAAAATATAATAATTTGGTCACTCAATGACAGCTGTTTGTGGGGACGCTGCTGTGCGCAATTGGCTGCCTCTTTCCGCCTACAAAATAGTCAATTCACTTGACAGTATATCCTGTGAAGCGCTTAGAGACGTCTCGAAGACGTTATCAAATGCGAGGATTATTATTTTTATTATTATTATTATTATTCGAAGTACCTGTGGGACATTTGTGCCTGTGTTCTGCGGGGTCACTGTCAGGAGGATGTGTGTGGCGGTGGCTGGGTTGGCTGTGGTCAGGATTGTGGTGGTCAGGGCTGGCGGGGAGGCTGGGTTTGGCAGTGGCGGTGGTGGCGGCAACGGCTGCGGACTCAGAAAGACGGTGGCCTGGTACTCCCCTGGGCCCGGAAAGGACTCCTGCTTCACCACCACGGCTTTGGGCGCTGCCGAGCAAGGTCCCGGTGACGTCACGCGGTGCTGCGGCGAGCTTGGGGAGCCCCCAAGAGGCTGGCCGGAGAGCGGGCAACTGCAGAGCTGCGCCTCCTGCTTGACGGAGACAACGGGGGGCTTCTGGTTGCCCCCCACTTCCTGTTGCGCGCCTTTCTCCTGCTCCAGCTGCAAGCGCAGGGCTTCCACCAGCTGCTGCTTCTGCCTCAGCATCCTGGTCAGCTCCTGGATCTGCCTGTCCTTTTCCTGCAACATCTGGTCCTTGTTGGGGCCCTCGGGTTCCCCGCCCGGGCCCCTCAGACCGTTGAGCTGGACGCCTTCGTCTTTGACAAGGACCCTCCGGGTGGGGGGGTGGAGCAGGCCGACCGGCGTGTTCAGCTCCAACCCCTCCTCCATGCTGACCACCGACTGCTCGTAGGGGACGGGGGACACGGGCGGGGTGGGGGCAGGGCCTCCGGGCTTGGCCGCCGGGGTTCCCGGCGCCGCGGGGGCTGCCCCCTCGATCAGCCGCCCCACTGGGATGATCACGATCGGCTCGCTGGGCTTGCAGGGCGCGGTACCGCTCCTGCCGCTGCCAGGGGGCGCCATTGGCACGGCCGTCCCATGTGGAACTCCACCAACTCCACCAACTCCACCTCCCCCTCCGCTCTGCTCCTGGTAGCACCTCAGCCTCTCGATCAGGTCGGTTTTGGTGCCTGACACGGGCAAACCTCTCAGCTTCAGCTCCTGCTTCAGCTCTGCCACCTGCGGGCACAAAGACACGCCCGCACAGGGTGACTATAAGCACGGTTGAAGAGGAAGGTCTTCAGGTGCCACCTGAAATCGGGGAAGGAGGGGGGCAAGGCGGAGGGATTGCGGGAGAGGGCTCCGGAGTATCGGGCCTCAGTGGCTGAAAGCGCGACCTCCGATGGTGAAGCGGAGGGGACGAGGGATGAGATAGAGAACGGTAGAGACATATGTGTGTGCGCGCGTGAGTGGTGGGTGCGGCGGGAGAGGAACAAAGACCGACCTTCAGGTCATCGAGGTTGGGGGGCAGCGAGGTGGGGGGCTTGCCGGTGGGGGTGGTGCTGTTTTGCCGGGCTAGTGAGCTGGGACCTGTGGGACACGAGCTGCCGGGCACCGTCCTGACCGAGGCTGGGCTGCTGCTCACTGGATGGTCGTTGTTCAGCCTGAGGGGCAGGAGGAGAGAAGGCGTCAACAAGACAGGCTCCGACTGACGGGCAGCACGCACTGCACTGGGATCCCCCGTGCGCGATCGGCTGTCGCGTTTCGCCCACAAAATACACAGCGATTCACTTTGCAGCGTGTTGCGCGAAGCGCTTTGGAGACGTCTCGAAGACGTGACAAGGCGCCGTATCAAATGCAAGGATTAATATTGTTATTATTATTATTATTATAATCCCTGCACTTCATATAGCGACGTCTCGAAACGCTTTCGAGCGATATACGGCGGGCAAATGTTTCGCCCAGAAAAATATACAATCGCTCCACTTTACAGTGAGGATGGTGATAATACTGCTCCCATTTGACGGCGGTCGGGAGGGTGGGTGGGGGGGGTTGAGCGAGTGGGGGAGAAGGCAACGGAGGAGAGAGGGAGGGAGGGAAACTTACTTGGGTGGTGCTGGCAGGATGGTGTGGTAATTGTAGTGCTGTTGTTGCTGACTTAGGATCTGTAGCTGTAGGAAGAGCTGCTGTTGCTGGAGGAGCTTGGAGTAGGCTGAGTCCATGGGGAGCAGGGCTTTCTCCTGCTTCTGGTCGGGCGGGATGTACTGGTGATACTTCAGCTTCTTCACCCTGGGCTTGGCCTCCTTTAGCTTCTTGCTGCGCTGGTGCTTGTCACGACTCGCCTTGGGCTGGCTCTGCTGCAGGGAGGCACAGGACGCAAGGCGGGCATTCAGCTACACTCACCATGCACAGTCCCTTCGCCTCGCCCCCTCTCTCCCTCGCCACCATCAAGGCACGTCTCAACACCCTCCTCTTCGGCTGAACCTTCAGCTACCCTCTTACCCCTACCCTCCCTGCACCCCTGATCCCAATTCCAAACCATCCCCTCCCAATTCAGGACTAAATCCCTGACTGTCCAGCTCCTAGGCGTACTGTAATACTACTCATAATAATCCTTGCATTTGATATCGCGCCTTATCAGCACTCCCCCAGCACTGCACCGGGACGTCAGTCCAGACAACACCAATTCAAAGCGCCTGTCCCCTGGCTTGAACCCACAGCCTTCCGCCTCGGAGGCCAGAGTGCTACCGATCGGGCCAGGGTGAGATGCACTGCTTATTATAAGGGAAGCAGATCTTCATAGAAGAGATGGGGAGAGATTTGCTTTGTCTTGAGTTTCTCACACAGGTGGTTAGAGTGGTCAGAGCACTCGCCCCGCAAGCGCGAGGATCCGGGTTCGATTCCCGGGCAGAACGAAACCGCAGGCAAGTTCCCCTGCTCCACACGCCTCTGTTTGGCTGGCAGTGAGTAGGAACTCGGCTGTTAAGTCGATTGGAAGACGTGATAAGGCGCTGCATCAAATGCAAGGATTAGTATTATAATTGTTATTATTCGTTGGGCAGGAGAGACGGTTCTTAAAACCGGTTCACGCAGAGAGAAAAAAAATAACCAACGCCAAATGGTGAACTGTAATTGTAGTCTGCGGGGAAAGTGCCCTGAAGTGTTCGGTGACGTCGGGAGACAAATAGACTCTCGCAATATTAATCTTAGTATCTCTGCCGTCTGGACTGTTGACGAAGCCAAATAAACACAGTAACTCGTGTCTGTTACACAGCGGAGCTTTAGTCTAGACATCGTGATTTACTGCTGTTGTGGATACACACGTGCGAGGAAGTTCGGGGGATGGTTGATGGTGAGGGATAGGGAGAAAGAATAAGGGGGTAGAGAGAAAGTGAGCGAGAGGAGAAACACCAACCGCTTGCATTTATATAGCACCCCTCACCCAGGGTAGTGTCCCACAGTGACTTAAAGAGAGGAGAGAAGGCAGGGAGAAAAGTGGTAGGAGAGAGGAATGGAGTGAGAGGAAGGGAGGGAGGGAGAGAGAAAGAGAGAGAGAGAGAGGAGAGGAAGTAGAGAGGGAAGGGTAGAGTACCGGAGTGAATGGAAAGGAGGGAGGGGGAGAATGAAGGAGAAGAGATGAAGAAGGGGACTGAGGGGGAGAGGGAGAGAGAGGCAGAGTGAGGGAGTCACAGAGAGGAGGAGGAGAGAGTAGCTGGGGAGGAAGCTTGTTTGTGAACTGCCCCCACACCCTCCGTAGGCAGTAATTAACACAAAACACCGCTCTTGCACAATTAAAAATAAATGAATCTAAACTGAACGGCTCAAAACTAAACAGGAAGCCAGTGTGCGATTATAACAATTTGTGAGGGGGTGTGTGGGGATGGGATTATCACTCCCGGAAACTGACCCGCCAATCGACTAACGACCGGGTTCCTACGTACTGCTGGTAAACAGAGGCGTGAGTGTGGGAGTGAGGGAAATTGATTAGGTTTCGAACCCGGCCGGGTCCCCTCGCTTGCGAGGCGAGCCCCTCTTGACCACCGAGACTCCTTTACTACCGCCTTACCTTGATGAGCGCTGGCAATGATTTGGTGGCGGGCGATGGCACACCGTTGTGGAGCTTCGTCACGGGCTGATCGGCCACTGGCACTAACTTGCTCAGTTCCGTCCCGACTGGCAACGGAAAAAGATACTGAAGGAGGGAGAGAGGGAAGGGTGAAGGGTAGAAGTAGACCTGCGTCCCCGAACCTACACAAGCCCTGACCCACCTCCCCACCGCCACTCACTTGCCACTGCCCCTCCGCTTCACCATCAGTGGCCACGATTTCAGCCACTAACCCCGAAGCTTTGCAACTCTCTGACCCAAACCCTCCGCCTCGCCCCCCACCTCCCCCCCTGCTTCCCCTCTTTTAGATCACTACTGAACAAGTCGTTCAGCCTCTTTCAAGCGCTCCGAGAGCTGCTCCGTGTGCAGGACGCCGTGTGAATGCGCAAGTTGTCGTTGATGATTAAGAAGTGTGACTGAGCGACCCTATTCCTCTTTTGCTTTCCTTCCCTTCTCCCCCTCTCCCTCAGTCCTTTACACCCCGTTAATAACAACCCCAGCAGCCACCCAAAGCACGCTCTGCCTCTCCCTCCTCCCCCACCATCACCGCGGAGAGAGACAGAGCGAGAGAGTGAGTACGTGAAGCACACACAGCCACGTACCTGGGATGGAGACATGGGAATGTGCTGGAGCTGATCGCTGGCCTTGGAGTCGGTGGGTGATGGCATTGACCCAAACGACTCCTGGCTTCCCGGCTGCTCTGGGGAGAGAGCGTCACTGCTGTCCTCATCGAAGGAGGAGCTGTCCAGTGCCGAATACGGTGCCTGGCTATCTACAGGTGGCAAACAACAACCCAACAGTTAGCCTCAGCGTTATAGGCCCACACGGCTGTTTGTGGGAACGCTGCCGTGCGCAATTGGCTGCTGCGTTTTGCCCACAAACTACACAGTCCATTCGCTTTACAGTGTATCCTGTGAAGAGCTACGGAACATCTCAATGACGCGAAAAGGAGCTCTATCAGATGCGAGGACTATTATTATTATTATTAACGTTCGGAGTTGGCCTGGCCGCCATGTCGCCTCTCCGCCACCAGGAGGCGCCGCGAAGCGGTTGCCGTTCGCGCTCACCGATGATGGCGTCTTTGACGCTGGAGTCCACAGGCAGGATGTTCTTCTCCACCAGCTCCAGGGGTCCCGGGCGCTGGGCCAGCTTCTCGTTCAGGTCGTCCGCGAGCCTCGCACGCTTCAGCTTCATCTGGGTGGCCTGCAGCGAGGGCTCAGCCGACGTCTCTGCACAAACAGCGGCAAAATGGCTTAAAATCAGGCCGGTCCAAACTGGGTGAGAGGACATCGCCCCCTCTGTACCGAGAGAGAACAGAACACGTTTGTCCCCTCTCTGTCCTTCAGGACTGAACCCCCTTCCGTCCAGCTGTGGCTCCTGTGAATCTGAACTGCCCCACCCCGCCCTCCACGAGAGGGCCATTAGAGGGATCTCAACATCTAGCTCAGGGCGGTCCAACTGGCGGCCCGCGGGCCGCATCCGGCCCCTTGGCCCGCTTTCATCCACCCGTTCTGTGCTGCACGATTCGATGACTGTATCCCGACCGATATCAAGCGCAAAGCTCCTGGGGTTGCCACCCCCTCCCCCTCCCCCTTTCCACCCGATGAAACGAGACGACGTAAGAATCAGAGAGTTGGGGAAAACCCAAGATTAAAAATGGTTGCCAACCCACTTCCGGGTCAGCGTCGATGTCACCCCCCGCACAGACCGGGCCCGATCGTACCTTCGAGAATGTGCATCCTGACCAGCTCCGCTCTCTCAGGGCGAGACCTAATCTTCCTCTTCAAATAGTCCTCCGTCTGTTCACAAATGAGAGGAGGAGACAGTTACACTTGCGGATGGGGCTTTACCCACCTCTTTTTTGGTGGGGGGGAAGTGTTGAAATCAAGGCGAAAGTGGTGATTTGTTTTTGCCCACAATATGCGCAATCAATTCGCTTTACAGTACATCCCCCGCGAAGCGCTTTGATACGCGTCTCAATGGCGTGAGATCAAATGCAAGGATTATTATTTTATTATTACTATTATTATTGGTGTGTTAGCCTCTTACCCGAGCTCTCTCCAAGCTTCGCCTCTGTTCGTGAAATGCAGCAGGACTCTTCAGGGCTGTAAAGGGGGGGTGGAAGGGGGAGTGGGGTGGTTGGGGGGGGGGTGAGTTAAACCAGTCAATGATAGAACAAGAGAACAAGTCACCCCATAACATGAGCTCGCAATCTGGGCTGACACCCCAGGGCAGTTCAGTCCTGGGGGAGCCCTGCACTATCAAAGAGATGATGCTCTCCATTTGAGACACCACACACACGCACGCACACACGCACACGCACACCCACACACACCCACGCTATCATAACATTAGCCATTGCTTATTTTATTTTCTCTTCCCTCCACCCGTTCTAGTGTAACAGCACCTCGGGCTTTCGTCTTACCGTTTACGATGGTGTCAGCAGTTTGGAAAACACTTTGCATTTGATGCAGCGCCTTATCACGTCTTGGAGACGTCTCAAAGCGCTTCACGGGATATAATAATAATAATAATAATAATCCTTGCAATGGATGTAGCTGTCAGGAGTGACTGTATATTTTGTGGTCGAAACTATAGTGGGTGTCCTTCACCCACTGACCCACACATATCTCCAGAACCAAAGGTTCAACTTTTCTTAGAAAACTTGTGAGGTCTTCTCAGACGATCATGTTCCCCACCCCCCCCCGTCCACCACTGCCGCCCCTCCCCACCACCCCCCACTCCCTGCCACCAACAACCAGGCCACAAAATGTTCCATTTGCTTTTAGATCACTGGCTGAACCGGAATAGGGTTTCAATTTCATCGCAAGACCCACAACTAGGAAGTGACACAAACTGACCACTCGCTCAGAAACCTATAGATAGCTCTTAAAATGGTGTCAAGATTGGGCGGAAATTTAGACCGGTTTCAATTTAGATTTGGAAGGCGTCTCTTAAAAAAAGGGGGTGGGGGGCGCGGGGGAGGGGAGTGGGGTGGGGGGGTTTGAGGGTAAACCAGATTGTAAACTAAAGCTGGAATAAAAACACTGGACCACAATAATAATCCTTGCAATTTGATATAGCGCTTTTCACATCTTCTCGACATCTCGAAGCGCTTCACAGGATATACTGTGAAATAAATTGACTGTACATTTGTGGGCGAAACGCGGCAGCCAATTGCGCACAGCAGCGTCCCCCCAAACAGTCGTGGATTGAAGAACTGAAGTGACCGATTTATTCTTGAATTTTTCTTGAGGGATTATCATCAGGTGTGTTGGAGTGAGGGAACTTGCCTAAGGTTTCGCCCTGCCCTGCCGGGAATCGAAACCAGTCCTGTAACTCAGTGGTTAGAGCACTCGTCTCGCGCTTGCGAGGCGAGTGCTCTAACCACTGAGTTACAGGACTGTGTTGTCGTGCTATTATTATTAATAATGCTCGTTAATATTAATTAATAAGCTTATGGCACTTCACGCATCTATCAGGGAGGACGTCCCAAAGCGCTTCGTAGGATATTTCGCCCGCAAAAAAGGAGGATGTCCCAAGGTGCTGGACAGTCAGGGATTTGGGAGCTGGGATCGGGAGGGGTGGAGGGGCAGGGAAGGTAGGCGTAGGAGGATAGGAGGATGGAGGAGGATGACCGAAGGTGCAGTCGAAGAGGAGGGTCCTGAGACAGGTCTTGAAGGAGGCGAGGGAGAGAGCGAGACGAAGGGGCCGGGGTTCCAAAGGGTGGGGGGCAGAGAGACTGAAGGCCCGACGGCTGAAACAGGACAGGTTGGGCGGGGGACACAGAGCCGGCCGGAGCCCACTGAGCGGAGGGCGTGGAGTGGGCAGACCAGTATGGAGTAAGCAAGAGCAGGGACTCTCGTGGTGTCCTGGCCAGCAATCCACCAAACAAAATCGTGCGCTTCATGGTCGCTGTGCACGGAATAGCAAGTCATCACACTTGCCAGTAATTATCCGTGAAGCAACTTCCTCGCGATGCTTTGATGTGATTAAAAACTCAACAGAAACGTAAGATGGTTGGTTCTTCTTCTCTGATCCTAACAGAGATCAGAACTGCAGCTTTTCTACGTCTGTCACCAAATGACCACAGAGGAGAGAGAGAGAGCGAGAGAGAGAGAGAGAGAGAGAGATAACTCGCCCACATACTGAGTAAGGCAGGCATCGTTCAGCGGTCTGAATAATAATGATCCTTGCATTTGATTTAACAAAGCACTTTACAGGATATACTGTCAAGTGAATTGACTGTACAGTTTGTGGGCGAAACGCAGCAGCCAATTGCGCACAGCAGTGTCCCCACAAACAGCCGTGGATTGAGTGACCAAATTATTATTCTTGTTATTGGGTTTTTTTTTTAAAAAAAGGGATTATTACCCCGGAAAAGCAATGCGCCAGTCGACTAACAACCGGGTCCCTACTTACTGTTAGGTAAATAGAGGCGTGTGGAGTAAGGAAACTTGTCCAACGGTTTGCCCTGCCTGGGAATTAAATCCGCGTCCTCTCACTTGCGAGGCGAGGGCTCTAACCACTCAGCTACAGGATTCTATTGAAGACTGAATTTCGCATTCCTTCAAGTTACTTAGCCCTCGACTAAGCGATCTCCACAAGCAGGTACTTGCTGGCGGAGCCTGGGGACAGACGCAAACTCTGCCTGAATAGACTTTTAATCCTGCAACAACAAGGGGGTAGAACGGCGGAGAATAACTCGAGAGAGACTTTTCCACGGAATTCACCCGCACGAGGGGGGAAGGGGGTTTCTTTGTGCCGGCGCTTGGACGACGATGGCAAGAATAATCCTTGCATTTGATATCGTGCCTTATCACGTTGTTGAGAATATAGTGTAAAGTGGAGCGACCGGGTATTTTGTGGGTGAAACGCGGCAGCCAATTGCGCACAGCAGCGCCCCCGCAAACAGTGGTGGATTGAGTGACCCCATTTTTTTTGGGGGGGGGGGGGGGAGAGGGATTATTACCCCGCAAAACCCAATCGACTAACAAAAAGGTTCCTGCTTACTGCTCGGGAAGCGGAGGCACGTCGAGTGAGGAAACTTGCCTACAGTTTAACCCCCGCCCAGGAATCTATCCCCGGGGTCCTCTCTCTCTCTCTCTCTCTCTCCTGCGAGGCGAGAGCTCTGCATATAATCCCCGAATAAAAGTCGGTCGCTCACTTCACGCTGCAAATTGGTTGCCACATTCACCCCAGGGCGCTCAACTGCACCATAAGACGCTGTATTCGAGCGCAAGGATAATAATTGTGGTTTGACCGAGTTCCTTTCCCCAGTTTGGGGCTCGTGCCAGTGATTACAGCTGTGTGACGCAAGCACTTCCAGACGTGCCGTTAATCCGGCTCGCACACAGACAACCTGGGCCGGGACCCCCCCCCCACTCTGCCTCCAAATCAACCCCTTGACAGGACTACGCAAGTCTGTGCTTTGAAGTGTTACGTGGAAATCAGAGCTGCTCCAGATAGAGAAACACAGAATGTTGCAGCACCGATGCAGGTCAGTCGACAAACCAAGTCTGCACTGGAGTTTTGCCCCCCCACCCCACTCACACGCGAGCCCACTCGCTATAATAATAATAATAAAATAGTAATCCTTGCAGTAGCGTCTTATCACGGCTTTGAGACGTCTCAAGCCGCATCACGGGATGCGCTGTAAAGAGAATCGACTGTATGTTTTGTGGGCGAAATGCGGCAGCCGATTACACGCAGCAGCGTCCCCCACAAAACAGTGGTGGATAATAAGAGATAGTAATGATGATGATGATAAGGACATCACTTGGAGCAGGCCAGAGGAAGTCAATAGATCAGTATAGGGTTAGCAGGTCACAGAGGCACGGAAGAGCAAGGCAGTGGAGGGCTTTGAAAGCGAGGACAAGGATTTTGAACTCTATCCTCTGGGGGATGGCAGCCAGTGGAGCCAGACGAGGACTTGGGTGATACAGACAGTCACTATATGCGTCGGCAATTGCCCGCAAAGCACTTGGAGATGCTCTGATGTTCATAAGCCCTCAATCAAACACGAGGAATATTATTATTATTCCTGCGAATGAGCAAACCCGAGGAACAGCAGGCGATGGGTTTTCTAAAGATAAAAAGGTTTATACACTCGCAAGGAAGAGGGAGAGAGAGAGAGGGTTGGGTGCTTTGTGGGTTTGGCTGAGCCGCAGGGCACTAAACGACCGAAGTGTTTATTATTCTAGCTGGAGCCGACAAGAAACGGGCGTGTTTAGATTTGAACTCTGTGTTGGGGACAGCAAACCAAACCACAGCATCTCAGCAACAGCAGAAGCCTCCCTTCCCTCCCCACCCCACCCCACCCAGCCTTCATCAGACGGTGCTAACATCAACAGCAACAACACGGGGAAGCATAGACTTGTGTAGTCCTCAGAAATTGAACCCGGGTTCCCCCCGCTTTCGAGGCGAGCGCACTGATAAGACTCCCCACTATATATATATATACACACACACACGCACACACATCACCTTCTCAGCTGCACACTTCACTCCGTCGGTTATTTTGATCGGGTTATATTTAGGCCACAACTGTCACTGAAACACGGCGTCACTTTCAGCTGCCCCGAACTTTATACTTGTCATTTCTTTTCGCTAAAAACGCCACGGGCTATTCTGACTCGCATTCCGGGGGCTCGCGAGGGTCCTAGGTTCTGTGCACCGTCATCCTGAAAACGCACACAACCGGTCATCCCTCCCCTCTGGAGATTGTTGGGACAGGTCCCCGAGAGAGAAGCGCCCTTCTCTTTTTGAGGCGCCCCGTGGGAACTTTAACGACCACACGAAGAGGCAGACGGGGCGCTCAGTTCAACATCTCATCCGAAGGACGGCCTTTCTGACGGTGGAGCGGCACCTAGACTGCGGGCTCCAAGTCGCGAGGGTTCGAACCCACCACCTTCTGACCGACTCAGAGGCGAGAGAGTGCCAGCAAAATAATAATAAAATAATAATCCTTGCATCTGACGTAGCCCTGTTCACGTCTTTCCAGACGTCTCAAAGCGTTTCGCAGAATAGACTGCAAAGTGACTTGACTGTATATTTGTGGGCGAAACGCCGCAGCCAATTGCGTCCCCACCAACGGTCGTGGATT